TATTTCGTAATTTATATTATTATTTTTATAAATATTATTATTATTATTAATAATATTATTATAAATAATTATAAATATTATTATAATATTTATATAAATAATATTATTATTATTTTTATAAATTAATTATCGCTTGACTTACGATGGAATGTCTGGTCTTTCTGGATCAACTATTTGTGACTTGAACACCGCACCCACTCCAGCCTATAGAGAGAAACATAATTAAATGTAGTGATAAAAATGAAAAATAAAAGTTTCATTACATTCATTGTATCTATAATGTTAGAGAGAGAGAGGGAGAGAGAGGGGGAAAGAGGGAGAGAGAGAGAGAGAGGGAGAGGAAGAGGGAAAGGTAGAGGGAGAGGGAGAGGGTTAGGGGGGGGGAGAGAGAGATGGAATATTGTATGATGTACTGTACATGTGTGTGTATATATGTATAATTAATGATATAATTATTAATTTTTATTAGTTATTATGTCGTTATTATCATCATTAATTACTTTTATCATTAATTTTTATCTTCTTTATTTTACTATATTTTTATCATAAATATATTTGCATATATATGTATTACATATTTAATATTGACACCTGTTCTAATTCCCGTAAAACGGCGAATATGATGGGCACCATCATGGCAGTGGCCGCGGTATTTGACACCCACATGGATATGAAGGTTGTTACCACGCACAGGCCACCGAGCAGTCTCGCGTGGCTACAGCCAACCGTCTTCATGACTCCGAGGGCGATCCTGAGATGCAGATTGCTGTGCTCGATAGCAATGGCGAGGATCAGACCGCCGATGAATACCATTATGGTGTCGTTCATGTAACAGGTGCACGTATCCGCCGTACTGAGTATACCTAGAGCCGGGAACATCACCACCGGGATCAACGATGTTACCGCCATCGGGAAGCAATCGGTCACCCAGTAGCCACCCATCAGCAACACCACATATGCACACCTGACTTCCTGCGAAAGTCACATGATCGTTTTAATTTGATTTTATGCCTAATAAAAGCAAAGTCTGAGATTTAAATTCGCAAAAAAGAATGAAATTTACGGAATTCAATTATTTCTTTATTAATTTTGGAGAAAAAATTAGAACTAAAAATTAAAGAGATTAATAGGAAATAGAATACCGAGCAGTCGTAAATCAAGAGGAAAGGTAAAAGGAAGAGCGCCCAGAAAAGTGCAAAGAGAATCTTCCAGTAGATCTTGAGGAAGTGTCCCGTATCTCTCAAGCAGCTGAGTAGTTTTCTCAAATAGTCGACAAGTTCTTCTCTTCTTTCGACTCTAATCGCAAAGTTTATTATGTTTCTTCATTATATAGATCCATATCGTAAATTTAGTTCACTAGGTTTCACTAAGTTTGAGTTTCTTGGAGCTCCTTAACAAAGCTCCTCGCAAAATTTAATTGTTTTACAATCCTCTCGTAATGTAAGTGTTGCTTAATGAAATATTCTGAGAAATTTGATATTAAATCCGTTGAACTGACCTTTCCATTGGCTCTTCGCCTGCATCGTCTCTTTTTTCGGCCATGTTATTTAAGAATTAGGTGCGTTTCAAATCTAGCATCCTGTCAAAATGCATGAACATTAATCTGAATATTGATTACAATCCACAGACGTATCGCAATCTCGAAGTATTTTTCGCTCGAGTCTTCGTTAATTTGTTTCTAATTGACAATTAATATTACAGTAGATTTCAAATCATCAACGCGTATGATAGTTAATAAAATTATATTTAATTATGTTTAATTATATTATTTGTCGCATAAATTTCAGCGAAATCTTTTCCATATGACAAAATAATAATAATCTTATATATATATGTTGTGCTCTTAAATATACACATATATAGTATAAAACAAATTTATAATATTAAAAAAAAAGTAATTTGCGGATAATTTTTGAAATTTCGTAAAAACGAATATGATTTCTTGGGCTGTAAGGCACTTGGCTGTATGTAAAGCCGACCCTGATGCTAGACGGGGCGGTACACGTAGAAATTGTTCGCGTGACAAAGAAAAGGTCACTCAAGGTCAAATCCATATTTTTATCATGTGGCCCCCTCCGAACCCTACAACTTTTGTTTGAAACATTTTTTTCGATAAAGCTTACTTTCCGAGATATTTTACAGTTTCAAGTAAAAAACTCACCCTGTATATGGATGAGACGATAGACCAAGGGCGCGTCTGCAACGCTTGCGAGCGTCATTTGTCTTTGTTTAACTTTCGGTGAACAACAAGGATGAAATGATACCGTGAGCGTTGCATTGTTAAGTGGAACGTGCCCCAAGGACGCTAAAGGACCAGAATAAAGCCCGTTTCCCACGATGCGATTTCTCGTGTTGGATAGCATGTATGATTTGCTGCTTGCTGCCCTGCGCTTTACATTGCATAAAGCTAAGCTGGGCGCGCTGCAAGTTTTCGCTTCACATGGAGCGAGGTGCAAAGCTAGCTTAGCGGATGGAACGGACGATAATTCGTGCGCTGCTCCTCAAAAAAAAATTTTGAGAAATGGACGCTGTCCGCAGAAAAAGTTTAGGAGCACTTTTTCTTTTGCTAATTTTAGAAGTGGAAAGAAACCGTCATGAAAAGAAGACTTTGGATAAAAAAACGGCACACAATGATAACTAAAAAAAACAACAAGATCATGTCAACTTATCACATGATCTAATCGCTAGTTCTCATTGGCTGTTTACAATGCCTAGCAACAAAATACGCAGAGAAAATAGCACTCGTTCTATCAATGACTACGTTTACACGTCACTCCTAATCGGGTTTAATAACATCCGTAGTTCTAAGGCTGGCCAATCACAGTCATTTTATTCTTTAGAGGAATAGCTGTGATTGGCCAGTTTTACAATTACGGATGTTATTAAACCCGATTAAGGATGCCGTGTAACAGAGCTCAATGAAAACCGTCAGCGCTACACACAGCGCTACTCGCAGCAAGCAACTTTTCTCGCTGCGTAGCCTGCACGGTGGCTGGCAGGGCTCCTCGCAAGTAAACTTGCACGAAAAATCGCATCGTGGAAAACCAGCTTTATGCAATATCATTTAAGAGATCTAATTTTAAAATCTTGTCTCCATTTTTTCTAATTTTATTCTATACATAAAATGAAGCCAAGAAGCAGCTAATAGAACTATAATCATTAGTAATTGTTTAGGAGCGACTTGATTGCGGGCGCGACGAGACGCACGGATTTGCGGTCGGACTGGAGTCACGAAATAAGCACTCACGGATCTCAATTATTGGTCTTTAATAGTCAAACAAATTTAGACGTCAAATAACGTGAAATAAAGTAGTCTTACACTGAGATGATGGCGACAAGCACAATTCACGATGGTTAACAAAAAGTCTTATGATAAGAAAGAAGAAGCGATTGTCCAAAAGCGAGCGATTGTCTTAAGTGCGGTGTATCAAAAGAAATAGCGGTTTAAGAAGACGGTTTAACATTGAAAATGCTAAGCGCAAATCGTCGTTAAAAAGCGGAATCGGAACAGATGACGTGAGTACAAATATTACCATTAACATAAACTTTGATAAATCTAATTTCTCTGAGGGTAATTTTTTTTAAAAATATCGTGTGACTTCTAAAAAATGTGATACATTTTTAAAATATTATGTTTATTTGTAGGCGTACATACCGAGCTTATGGTATTACGAACATTTAATGTTTTTGGAAGAGCATTTTGTTTCTCGGAAAAGCAAGGCATCTCCAATTAGAATTATTTCAAAGAATCCTATTTACCAAAATATTCAACTTAATTCACAGGTATTATATGCATTGTATATGTATTATATTTTCCATAACTCACTGAATTTTGAATTAAAAAAATGGGTCATATAACTTAATTTTTTCCGCTCAAAATGCAAAGAAAAAGATGTTTCTGAAAGTAATTGTTATTTTTAATGTACATCAAAGCTCTAATTCTGTAATGTTTGTAAGTAGTAAAAAAATATTGTTAAAGTCAAGACATAGTTGTTGACATGTTAAAACAATTTCATTATTTGAATTTTGAAATAGATTTTTACAATAGTTTATGAAATTTTTGCTATTACATAGACAAATGATAAATATAAAAACTAAATATAAAAAATAATAATAAAAACCGTAACTTCTTACAATTTTAATTAGGATTTTAACAGCCAAGTTACATGTGAAGTCAATAAGAGCTTGAATGAAAGCAGCCCCCTTTACGTATTTGTGCAAGACAAGGAGGGTGATACGAAAAACCAAAGAGAATTAGATAGAGTGGAAGATCCCGAGTGGAAGAGCGTCCGTTCCCGTCCGCGGGCGACAACGAACAACGAACTTCTTAGAACCAAAGAGAATTAGATAGAGTGGAAGGTCTCATAAGAGCGTAATGTATTTTTGCGTATACAGTTTTCAGTGCCCTCTCGTGAGTATATTTTAATAGTTGCGATCGAATTTGAACAAGAAGAAGCTAAGTAATTGGGCATCAGACTCGGTAGATGGCATTGATCGTTGTATACGCTTACCTTCCACTCTATCTAATCCTCTTTGCGAAGAACATCTCTTTATCTACAACGTTGCTAACTCCATCTTCAATATTATTACCACTTTCGACATCAACATCGATATCAACATTATTACCGCCGTTATCATCGCCGACGAACTCTTCTGGACCTTCATTAATTGAGAAAACAGCTGGTTTTTTACGATCAGTACAGGCTTGTAGCTCTGCACTGGCCTGTAGCCCATCACCGTCTTATAGCCCTGCTCCATCATGTAGCTCTGCACCGGCCTATAGCTCTGCACCGTCTTGTAGCCCTGCTCCGTCACGTAGTTCTGCACCGGCCTATAGCCCTGCACCGTCTTGTAGCCCTGCTTCGTTATGTAGTTCTACACCGTCTCCTTTTTCTGTCTTCTCGAGCTGTCAATCTCCAACCTCCCAAGAATCTCGGGCTCAAAAGAAAAGAAAGAAACAGTCTGATGACTTCCAATGCTATGTAGGAGCAATAGATTTTATTGCGGAATCTTTACGGCAACCAACACCATTATCAGCATCACCTGCGATTGAGACTAGACTTCTAGATCCAGTAGATTCATGTATGCAATTTCTGGGGTCTATGTTAAAAGAAATTGATTGCGAAAAGACAAAACTCGAGGTAATAAGCATCATATTGCAAACTGTAATTAATGCTAAAACTAATTATGTTCGGAGAACGCTGAAGGACACATAATTAGTTCCACTTTTTTCTATTGTTAAACAGTTATTTATTTAATTATATTGTTATGCATAATTCAGTTTTACAATAAAATATAAAGAATGTAAAGAAATAATAAAATACGTCTATCGTTATTTCCAACTCATGTATTTTTACATTCTACCTTCTACCTTCATTTCTATTGCCCCGAATATTAAATGCGAACATACAACATTTAAATTCATTGTCTCTAGAATTTGGATAGTTAGTAGTTTCCTTTTTTTACAGCCTGGTCTTGCCATGGAACAGCACCAATCCCATTAAAATAAGTTTTAAATGATTTCGAATAGATATTGCAATAGTAGAAGCATGATTCCCACTTTGCTGTTGCACACTTTGTAAATTTGACTGTACACATTCTTGTAGACGTTCTGCAGAAATATACTACTGAACATTACGTTGAATCAAAAAATTATGGAGCAGACAACATGTGTAAACTATTAGCTCCATCTTTTCCACAGAAAGAGGAATAATATTCAACATAATGCGAAAGCGGTTGACCAGTATGCCAAAGGCATTTTCTACAATTCTGCGTGCTCTGCTCAATCTATAATTAAATATTTTTTAATCATAAGTCAGGTTACGTCCAGGGTATGGCTTCATAATGTTCGATTTCAATGAAAAAGCATCGTCAGCTACAATCACATATGGTAAAGACACATTTCCTCCAGGTAGGGGATGTGGCGTTGGTAAATTTAGTGTACCAGAAGAAAGATGTTGGGAGAAGACACTTTTTTGAAACACAGAAGAGTCATGCATGCATACAGAAGAGTCCATTCCGACCAATGTCCACAAATAAAAATTGATAGTTTGCATTTACAAGGGCAAGCAAAATGATACTGTCTGTGTTTTTATAATTGCAGTAGAAAGACCCGTCAGCTCTTGGTGGTCTGAAATTTACATGTTTGCCATCCAGAGCTCCTATGCAATGAGGAAATTGCCACTGTGCATGAAATTGTCCTGCGGAAGCTTTCCACTCTGAAGAAGTTGAAGGGCATATCAATACCTTCCCTTCTAACACGATCACAATTGCTTTTAGAGTTTCAATTATTAAGCGCGATAAGGTATTGTGAGCAATCCGAATCGAATAAGACAAATCAACAAATGTGTTGCCTGTGGCAAGAAAACGCAATGTAGCTGCAAGCCTATTGCGTGGGGTAATTGCTTCTCTCCTGATAGTGTCTTGCTTTTGTATAAGCGGTGTAATTGCAGCTAACAATTCTTCCAGAACTTCTTCATCCATCCGCGTGTAATTCCGGAATGACTTTGGATCCTCAGGCCTATTTAAAATAAAAAAAGTGT